TCTTTCTTTTTTTTTTCAGTTTCGCTCTGTCGCCCAAAAAAAAGAGTAGTGGTGTGATGTCATCTCACTGCAAGCTCAAAAAAACTGATTCAAGCGATTCTCCTGCCTCAGCCTCCCAAAAAAAAAGGACTACAGGTGCCCGCCACCACGCCCGGCTAATTAAAAAAAATTTTTTTTAGTAGAGATGGGGTTTCACTGTGTGTAAAAAAAATGGTCTCGATCTCCTGACCTCGTGATCTGCCCGCAAAAAAATCCCAAAGTGCTGGGATTATAGGTGTGAGCCACCAAAAAAAACCTGTAGTTTCTACATCTGTGAAAATGGGATGGCAGTAATAACAGGATCCTGTTCACAGGGATGTGGTCATGACTCAAAAAAAATGTACATGTAAAGTACTTGGGACAGAGGCCAGTACAAAAAAAAGTGGCCTCTAAGAGTTTGCTATTACAGTTGTTATAAAAAAACCTAATTAGAACAGGCAGAAAAATGATCCATTGGTGACAATCTGTTCTCAAGTGTCACTTAGCACAGGCCACTCTGTAAAAAAAGCCTGTACTGCTCCTCTGTCTGACCTGGCTGGCTGAAAAAAACCAACAATTTCCCAGCAGCTGACAGGTGCTAAGGAAAAGTGGAAGACATTGCCATTTCTCAATACTGGCTTCAGTCCAAAAAAATCCCCATCCTGGGTTCCTGGGGTCAGAGCTTGGCTAAAAAAAGGCGCAGAGAGGGGTGTTACTGCTCAAGTGAGGATAAAAAAACTTGTGCCTGCAGGTGGCTGCAACCTATGCCCTTGAAAAAAATGGTCCACCTTGACGAGGCAGCTGATGGCTGCAGCAAAAAAATGGTCAATGTGTGTGGTACCCAGGAAGCTGGCAGTAAAAAAATCAGACCTTCACTGGCCAGACCTGTCATTATCTAAAAAAAAAGTGAGGCCGGAGCAGATGTTTCAAGGAGGGGGCCAAAAAAAAGCTTCCCCCTGGGGTTCCCAGCCCAAGAACACGAAAAAAAAATAGGGGCACACAAAGCCTATGGAAACAATCCTGGCAAAAAAACTCAGAGGTCAGACAGCTGGGAGAGACCCTTGGGATTGACATAAGGCAGACATGAGTTCAAATCCTGGTTCTGACAAAAAAAAATTGGGGGATCTCTGGGCCTCAATGTCTTTGTCTGTAAAAAAAGGATAAGTGTGTATATCCTGAAGGGTAGGGTGCTAGTAGCAGTAGTAGGAGGAAAGAGGGGCATAGCAGTGATTTAAAAAAAAAATCCTGGTAGCCAACATGTATTGAACACTTACAATAAAAAAAGCCAGCCCTAAATATTCATAAACTCCATTGACGCCAAAAAAAAAGTCTCATGGTAGAGTGAGTAGGGTCCTGGCATAAAAAAAACAGGTAACTGAAGAGTTTAATACCTGTGCTATTTAAAAAAAAGTGGGCAGGGTTTGTGGAAACCAACAAGAGGTGATCTAGTCCAGAAGGCTAAAGGGAGGGCACAGTCACCAGACCTAAAAAAAAAGCTGTCTGGAGGAGCTGCCTGTGATAGGAACTGTAAAAAAAGACTTATTTTCGACATGTGAGAAAGCGGGTGGTAGGAATAACAGTGCCCGCTTCCCAGGGATGTTGTAGAGATTCAGAAAAAAACTGAGTGTGAAGTACGAGGAATATCACTGACCCATAAAAAAACGGGAGGGAGGAAACCAGGTGTGGCAGGGAGCGGAAAAAAAAGCCCACCCATATCTTTTAGAAAATTATTTTATTTTAAAAAAATTTTTTTTTTTTTTTTTTTTAGAGACAGAATCTCAAAAAAAAGCCCATGCTGGAGTGCAGTGGCATGATCATGGTTCAAAAAAATCTGGAACTCCTGGCCTCAAGCGATCCTCCCACCTTGGGCTCCCAAATAGCTGGGACCGCAGGCATGTGTCACCACAAAAAAAAAATTTTTTAAATTTTTAGTAGAGACGGGGTTTCGCAAAAAAATTGGTCTTGCCCAGGCTGGTCTCAAACTCCTGGCCAAAAAAAATCTTCCTGCCTCAGCCTCCGAAAGTGCTGGGATTAAAAAAATAAGCCACTGAGCCACCACACTCGGCCCTATTTTTAAAAAAATTTGATTAAAAAAAATATAGCATGCTTCATGAATTAAAAAAACATCCTTGCATAGGGGCCATGCTAATCTCTGTGTCAAAAAAATTTTAGCATATGTGCTGCTGAAGTGGGCATGATGTAAAAAAATTGTTTTTTTTTTTTTTTTTTCCTTTGGAGATGGAAAAAAAATTTGTTGCTCAGGCTGGAGTGCAGTGGTGCGATCTAAAAAAACTACAACCTTTGCCTCCTGGGTTTAAGCAATTCTCCTGCCTCAGCCTCCCGAATAACTAGGACTACAGGTGCATGCTGCCACACCTAGCTAATTTTCTTTTGTATTTTTAGTAGAGACCAAAAAAAACCATGTTGCCCAGGCTGGTTTTGAACTCCTGAGCAAAAAAAATCCGCCCACCTCTTCCCCTCAAAGTGCTAGGATTACAGGCGTGAGTCAACGCGCCCAGCTGATGTCCACACCTTAATCCCTAGAACCTGTGAATGCTACCTTATGTGGCAAAAGAGACAAAAAAAATGTGATTAAGGATGGGAGATGAGCCTAGATTATTAAAAAAAGGCCAGTGTCATCACAGGGTCCTTATAAGAGGAAGAAAAAAAGGTAAGAATCAGGAGATGCAACAATGAAGGCAGAGAAAAAAAATGGAGGGAGAGAGGAGAGAGGAGAGAGGAGAGAGAAAAAAAGAGAGAGGAGAGAACGCTCAACCTGACATCACTGAAAAAAAAGATGGAGGAAGAACACAGCCCTGCCAACACCTTCAAAAAAAACCCAGTAAAACCCATTTTGGACTCCTAACCTCCAGAACGATAATAAATTAATGTTGCTTTAAACTGCTAAGTTTGTAAAAAAAAGTCACAGCAGCCACAGGAGACTAACATGCTGGGGGAAAAAAAACCTCTGCCTCTCTCTCCATCGGCTGAACCCAACTAAAAAAAGATGGGCACAGGAGCCCATAGTTCACGCAGGTCAGCCCCCTGGGCAGACAGCAGGGTGAGAAAGATGGAGAGTGTAGAAAAAAAGATCAGAGGAAGTCATTTAGCTGAAAAACTATTACAAAAAAATACAGATGAGGGCACTGAGGCTAAGTCATTCAAACAAAAAAACACAGCTAATCAGTGCAGAGCTGGCAGTCATGAAGAAAAAAAAACACAGGGATTGTGAATCACTCATTGAGCAATTAAAAAAAACAGAGTGTGGAGCAAAGCACTCTGTATTTCCCACAAAAAAAAGTTCTTACAAACGGAGTACTTTGGAGGAAGGTGCTAAAAAAATTCTCAGTTGACAGATGAGGAAACTAGGTTTTTGTAAAAAAACCAAAGTCACACAGCTGGAGAGGCGCATGGCTGGGAAAAAAACACAGATGTGTCTGATGCCAGAGTCCATGGGCATAAAAAAAAGGCCATGCTGCTTTCCAGTGTCAAGTGCGTGGTGCAAAAAAAGAACCCTGCACGAGCTCAGTGGGCAAAAGGTCCTGAAAAAAATGGTCTTGGGGAGGGTAAACGGGAGGCATCTGAGGACTTTCCTAGGCCTGTTGTTTCCCCTCTGGCCTTTCTTCTCCAAAAAAATTTTTTTTTTTTTTGTCTTTATGCCATTTTGCATTAAAAAAAACTGCCTTTTGGGTACCAGAGCTGTGGCTTCATCTAAAAAAACCTCAGCAGCCTAGGATTTTGGCTCAACTAGATAAAAAAAAAGTCCCCAATCCCGGGGCTGATGACTGGTACTAGACTGTGGCCTGTTAGGAACCAGGCGCACAGCAGGAGGTGAGCAGAAAAAAATCAAGCATTACCACCCGAGCTCCACCTCCCATCAGAAAAAAAGCAGCAGTCGATTCTCCTGGGAGTGCGAACCCTATAAAAAAATGCACATGCGAGGGATGATCTAGGTTGCATGCTCCAAAAAAAAATCCAGTGCCTGATGATCTGAAGTGGAACAGTTTAAAAAAAAAACCATCCCCACCCTGATCCGTGGAAAACCTGTCAAAAAAAAAACCAGTTCCTGGTGCTAAAAAGGTTGGGGACCAAAAAAAAAAATCACACAGTGGAGGAAGGGAGTGGACATGAAAGGTGGGAGGACCAAAACGGGCCCAAAGATTGGGGTCATGGGTAAAAAAAGTTGCCACTCAAGATCGATGGTCACTTCCAAGCTGAAAAAAAGTCAAGCAATGCCTGGGACATGTCTCAGCTTTCTAAACTTGAAAGATGGCTGTTTTTACATAATGGAAAGCAGGAGAAAAAAAACATTCTTTAGTCCATCTGCTTCAGTCCACATTCCCAAAAAAACACCTTACAGAGCCACTGGCAATCGCTATGTCCTATAGGTGATACCTTGTCTGAGCCCTGCTCAGTCCTCTGAACTCCAAAGTCTACTCCCCAAGGCCTCTTCATTCCAACACCTGCCTAAAAAAATTTCTCTGTGATACACTGCAAAGCATCATTATCCTAAAAAAACACTCCAGGGTCTGTGGCAGACATCACTAATCAATAAAAAAAATCTTTCCTTTCGAGCCTCAGTCCCGTCTATAAAATTAGCTCCTGGAAGCCACAAATAGTCAAAACCTATTAGGGCTAAAAAAACCTGGGAGAAGCAGGACCCAGAGCATGCTAACATGAAAAAAATCCCCTCTCTCAGGTGAAATGTGGATGAAAATTGCATCAAGGGTAGCTGTGAACAACCTAACTTAGGAAATGCACTTAAAAAAAAGAGGTGTGACAAGGTGGTGATGACAAAGAGCCATAAAAAAATTCATGGAATTAGAAGAGGTGGGTGACAGGAGCTAAAAAAAAAGGCTCTCTTTATTTTATGTGCTGACATCAGTCCAAAAAAAACCATTCTTTCCTCCTCAGAAGGCACTCTGAATCCTAAAAAAAATCCATGTGACTGGGGTTACCTGATGGTTGCAGCCAAAAAAAACCTTGGACTTGACGGCCAGGATGATCTTGGGCAGGGCCACGATGAGGCACTTGAGGGCGATGGTGATGTACTTTAGAAAAAAATCTGCGATCCCCACGATCCACAGCAGGTCAAAGAAAAAAAAAGTCTCCAGGTTGGGCTTCAGGAATATGAGGCTGGGAAAAAAATTCAGAGGGTCAGAAGGTTCCCTTAGGGCCAGGCCAAAAAAACTCCTTCTACTCACTCAGGAGCCTTCTAAGTATCAAAAAAAAAAAAAGCACTGAACTGGGAGTCAGACGTCTGTGTCAAAAAAATGAAGTATCACCTATAGAAAGAGCACTGAACTGGGAAAAAAACGTCTGTGTTCTTTTCCTGAATCTGCTACTCACCTAAAAAAACCTCACGTGGATCTTTTAACCTCTCTGAGTCTTAGTTCCCTTGAGAGTTAAATGGCCATATTGGAGTTTCATTAAGGAAAAAAATTTAGTCCTTTTTTGTGTGTTGCTATAACAGAATAAAAAAAACTGGGTAATTTGTAGAGGAAAGAGGTGGTTTTGTTAAAAAAATTGTTTGTTTTTGAGATGGTGTCTTGCTCTGTCTCAAAAAAAGGATGGAGTGCAGTGGTGTGATCTCGGCTCACTGCAACCTCCATCTCCTGGGTTCAAGTGATTCTCCCGCCTCAGCCAAAAAAATAGCTGGGACTACAGGTATCTGCCAACTCAGCTGAAAAAAAATTTGTATTTTTAGTAGAGACGGGGTTTTGCCATGTTGGCCAGGCTGGTCTCAAACTCCTGACTTCAAGTGATCCCCCAAAAAAAGCCTTCCAAAGTGCTGAGATACAGGCATGAGCCACAAAAAAAAGCCAGAGGAAAGAGTTTTATTTAGCCCAGGGTTCTACAGGCTGGGAAGTTCAAGGGCACGGCACTAGCTTCTGGTGAGGGTTATTTTTCTGGTGCATCATAACATGAAGGAGAAGACCAAAGGGGAAGCAGACAAACCCCAGGGGCATCCTGGCTTTATAAGAACCCACCCTCACAGGAACTAATCCATTCCCATGAGACTAAAAAAAATTCACCAGAGCAAGAACTCACTCACTATCATGAAAAAAAAAACAAACCACTCATGGAGGATCCATACCCATGACCCAAACACCTTCCGCTAGGCCCCATCTCCCAACACCACTGGGGATAAAAAAACAACATGAGTTTTGGTGGGGACAAACCCAACCATAAAAAAAACCTCTAGTTTTGTGGGTCCACAACAGGCTTTAAAAAAAAAAACAAAAGGAAGGAAGGAAGGAAGGAGGGAAGAAAAGAAAAAAAGAGGAAGAGAGGGAGGGAAGGCAGGGAGAGGAAATAAAAAAAGCAGGCCAATACTATGAAGGAGGGAGGGAAACTGAAAAAAAAGGAACTGTGCTAAGCTCTTTGCTCACTGATCCTCAAAAAAAACCTGTGCAGTGAGTGTTGCTTATCTCCAGTTTATAAAAAAAACGCTGAGGCTTGGAGAGGTGACGTCAGCTGCCCAAAAAAAAACTACATAAGCATAAAGGCGTTGGTATCAGACAGACTTGAACTGGAATCCAGGCTTCTCCATTTATTGGACCCTGGGCAAAAAAAGTTATCTCTGTAAGCCTCAGTGTTCTCATGAATAAAAAAAAAATTGTTCCCTGCCTTATGGTGTCATTGGCAGGATTAAAAAAAATAATGGACAGATTACAGACCCTGCGGTGCAGCAGAAAAAAAGATAGTAATACTACGAGGCAGGTACTTTTATCCACTCCATTTTGCAGATAAGGAAACTGAGGCACAGAAAGGTAAAGAAAAAAATGGAAGATCCTGAAAATATTAAGGGACAGAGGTGGCCTGGAACCCAGACATCCTGGCTGCAGTTAAAGTTCTCCATCCATACTCTACAGCTGGGTAGTGTAAACCTGTCCATGACCAGAAAAAAAAAACCTCATGTTCAGTTTCTGAACTTAACTTGTTGGAAAAAAACAACAAGCAGTTCTCAAACTGGCACTGGTGAACAGAAAAAAATTTGAGTGGCACTGCTCTCCAACACCCCCCAAGAGAAAAAAATTCTTTGTAATAGTGGCTAAAATATCCTGGCTTTAGATGTCATGCAGCCCTGCTCTGTGCATTTTACATATCTTAACAAAAAAAGTCTTCCCAAAGACTCTATGGTAGGTACTGTGAATAAAAAAATTTGAGGCTGGGTGCGGTGGCTCACGACTGTAATCCCAGCAGTTTGGGAGGCAGAGGCAGGCGGATCATTTGTCAGGAAAAAAAGACTGGCCAACATGGTGAAACTCTGTCTCTATTAAAAAAAAAAAAATTAGCTGAGCATGGTGGTGCATGCCTGTAGTCTCAGCAACTCAGAAGGCTGAAGCAGAGGTTGCAGTGAGCCGAGATCATGCCACTGCACTCCAGCGTGGGCGATAGAGTGAGACTCCTTCTCAAAAAAAAAAAAAAACAAACAAAAAAACCCATATATATATATATATATCCCATTTTGAGCTGAGGACACCAGGACACTAAGGGGTGGAGTCACCTTCCTGCAGCATCTCGGGTTGAATGTGGAGCTTAGATTGGAACCAGTACTCAACCCATGCTGGTCCCTCTCCTTTCTTCCCGCCGGATTACAGGCTCTGGGCAAGGGCCAGACTGAATCCCATCAGCCTCCTCCAAAGCAGGGAGAAGTGCACTCAGCACAGAATGGATGCTTTCTATATGCTTTGGAAATACTCAGCTGGGCTGGCGGAAAAGGGTGCAAAATGAGGCCCCTATTCTAGCATCCTAAGAAAAAAATGGTCTGGGTTATTTTGAGGAGGGCAAAATTACTGAAAAAAAACTCACAACACCTTCAGTGACCCTCCCACATCCCCAAAAAAACTCCATGGGATTTCTCATCGCTCTTGTTGCCCAGGAAAAAAAACAATGGTGCAATCTCGGCTCACTGCAACCTCCACAAAAAAAGTTCAAGCGATTTTCCTGCCTCAGCCTCCCAAGTAAAAAAAATTACAGGTGTACGCCACCACACCTGGCTAATTTTGAAAAAAAAGTAGAGATGGGGTTTTACCATTTTGACCAGGCTGGTTCGAACTCCTGACCTCAGGTGATCCACCCACCTCAGCCTCCCAAAGTTCTGGGATTACAGGTGTGAGCCACCGCGCCCAGCCTGTTGCTCCTCTCTTAAGCTTCTCTCTCTCTCTCTTCCTGTGCGCCAGTTTGACTCAGCCTGCTTTGATGGGGGCACAGAGGTCAAAAAAAGGGAATATGATCATACCCAGAAAATGGCATGAGCTAAAAAAACATCCAAGGTTCTGGGAAACTCCACCTCCTCCACCCTCCACCAGGACCTTGACATTCTAGACCATGCACTGAATGCAAAAAAAAAGATCTGTGTTGACACCTCGGAATTGCTCCTCAAAAAAAAAATATGAGTGGCCTCAGAAAGTGGTGAAACCACACAGAAAAAAAAGTTCATTTTCTAAACAGATGGATGTGATCTGAAAAAAAAAATTGAGTTTCAACCCTGTCCTAGAGGTCCTCTGGCCAACCCTACCCCCAACCATCCACAAAAGAATCTTCCCTCAATTAAAAAAACTCTGATAGTTTCCACAAACAGCAGTCACGTTCTGAAAAAAATCACTTATGCAGTGATCTCCAAATACTTTTTAAAAAAAAAAACCAAATGTATTCCAATTACAGGATTATTTTTCTTTAAAAAAAAATTCTTTGGTGTTAAAATAATCATTCTTTTATGAAAAAAAATCAGTGGTAGATGATCTTTTTTTCTAATTGTGGTAAAAAAAACAGAACATTAAATGTACCGTCTTAACCATTTTTACGTGCACAGTTCAATGATGCTAAGTACATTCACATTGTTGCATAAAAAAAACCACCATCTAACCACAGACCTCTTTTCATCTTGCAAAAAAAAGACTCTGTATCCATTAGCAGTAACTCCACATTCCCTTCTCCCCACAGTCCCTGGCAACTGCCATTCTCCTGTCTATAAAAAAAACTACTTTAGGTACTTCATGCAATCATACACCTAAAAAAAAATTGTATCTGGCTTATTTCAATTCACAAAATGTCCTAAAAAAACATCCATGTTGCAGCATGTGTCAGAATTTCCTTTCAAAAAAAGGCTGAATAATATTCCACTGTATGCACATACCACAAAAAAAATATCCATTCATCTGTCAATAGACACTGGGTCACTGAAAAAAATCTACCTTTTGGCTATTACGTGATGATCGTTTTTAAAAAAAAAAAGCAAGCTGATATCTACGTGGTAACCCCCTGGACTTTGATGTGGGTCGCTTTACTAGTTTGTGAAATCTCTAAGTAAAAAAATTACACAATTTTGTGTCTGATGTAGACATTGTGATAAAAAAAACCCTTACAGCCTCTACAGATTCTTCCAAGTAGTTAAAAAAAGGGCATCTGCTAAGCCTGTGACTCTATTCTGAGATAAAAAAACCACTGCCATCCTCAGGGAAAGCATCCACATCCCCACTGGACTCTGCGACCCAGCCCCCCTGGCGCATGAAAAGCCAAAAAAAAGCGCGCTCTCTTTAATTTTAAAGGAGAAACAGAGAAAAAAAATGAACGGCTAAGTCATGCCAAGAACTGAACATCAAATTCCAGGAAGTCCCTGGTCCCTGCCCTTTCTCGGGCCTTGTAAAAAAATTTTCCTAGGATTGTTTGAGTCCCTGCATGGAGCAAAAAAAAGAAGAATTCCCTGTTTGCTTAAGCTGGTAACCCAAAAAAAAATTAGTTGATATGTTTTCTTAATATAGTCCTAGGCACATACACAGGAAGTGTCAATAGATGCTACTTGCAGCTGGGCAAAAAAAATCATGCCTGTAATCCCAACACTTTGAGAGGCCGAGGCAGGCAGATCACCTGAGGTCAGGAGTTTGAGACCAGCCTGACCAACATGGTGAAACTCTGTCTCTATTAAAATTATAAAAAATAAAAAAAGCGTGGTGGCTCACACCTATAATCCCAGCACTTTGGGAGGCCAAGGCGGGTGGATCACAAGGTCAAGAGATCGAGACCATCCTGGTCAACTTGGTAGAAACCCTGTCTCTACTAAAAATACAAAAATTAGCTGGGTGTGGTGGCGTGTGTCTGTAGTCCTAAAAAAAAGGGAGGGTGAGGCAGCAGAAT